AAAGGAACAAATTATTGGGAGCCCTTCAAAAGGAATTATTACTCTCTCAAAAGCTTTGAGTGAGTGTGGTAATATTGCTTTCTTATCTCAACTAGAACCTAAAAAGATTAATGATGCTTTGAATGATGAATTTTGGGTTTTGGCTATGCATGAAGAATTAAACAATTTTCAAAGAAATGAAGTTTGGAAGTTAGTTCCTAGACCTAACAATGCTAGTGTTATTGGTACTAAATGGGTTTTTAGAAACAAACTTGATGAACATGGCATTGTAACTAGAAATAAAGCACGTTTGGTTGCCCAAGGATACAATCAAGAGGAGGGCATAGACTATGATGAAACCTTTGCACCGGTTGCAAGGTTGGAATCTATTAGGATGTTTTTGGCATTTGCTAGTTTTAAAAATTTCAAACTATTTCAAATGGATGTCAAAAGTGCTTTCTTAAATGGTTTTATAGAAGAGGAAGTGTATGTTGAGCAACCCCCCGGTTTTATAGATCATGCTTTTCCTAATCATGTTTACCGGGTACAAAAAGCTTTATATGGGTTGAAACAAGCTCCTAGGGCTTGGTATGCTCGCCTCTCTAGTTTTCTTATTGAAAATGGTTTTTCAAAAGGAACAATTGATAACACACTTTTTGTGAGAAAAAGGAAAAATGATTTCATTTTAGTTCAAATATATGTGGATGACATTATTTTTGGTGCTACTAATGAATCCTTGTGCAAGGAATTTTCTAAAGTTATGCAGGATCACTTTGAGATGAGTATGATGGGAGAGCTTACATTCTTTCTCGGGCTCCAAGTCAAGCAAACTAAGGATGGGATCTTCATTTCACAAAGCAAGTATGCGAAGGAATTGGTGAAGAAATTCAATTTGGAGAATTCTAAGCATGCACCTACTCCCATGAGTACTAGTGTTAAGCTTGATGCGGATGAGAGTGGTGAAGATGTAGACCAAAAACTATACCGAGGTATGATAAGTAGTCTTTTTTATCTCACCGTTAGTAGACCCGATATCATGTTTAGTGTGTGTGCATGTGCACGTTTTTAAGCATCTCCAAAAGCATCTCATTTAATTGCGGTTAAAAGGATCATTAAGTATGTTAATGGAACTTTTAACCTTGGTTTATTTTATCCAAGAAGCACCTCTTTTGATTTATATGGTTTTTGTGATGCCGACTTTGCCGGATGTAAGGTAGATCGCAAGAGTACTAGTGGAACATGCCAATTCTTAGGAAATTCACTTGTTTCTTGGGCTTCCAAGAAACAAAATTGTGTTGTATTGTCCACTACGAAAGCCGAATACATTATCGCCGGCTTATGTTGTGCTCAAGTTTTATGGATAAAACAAAGCTTAGTTGACTATGATTTGAACTTTCAAAATATTAAAATCTTTTGTGATAACACAAGTGCTATAAATATTTCCAAAAATTCGGTTTTGCATTCTAGAACCAAGCATATTGATGTGCGCCATCATTTATTATGCGATCATGTAGAGAGACAAGATGTATCCCTAGTATTTGTTGACACAAAATCTCAACTAGCGGATATATTTACTAAGCCTCTTGGAGAGGATGATTTTTGTCGCATAAGAAATGGTTTGGGCTTATGCACTATGTGAAAGTTCTACATTGCTTGCTTGTTTAGTTGCATCTTGCATTTTGCATTTCTTTCCCCATTTTTTGATGGTGACAAAGGGGGAGAGAAATCTCCTCATTTGTTGCATATATTTAGGGGGAGCTCATAGATAGGGGGAGCACCTATCTATAAGCTATTTTATTTTTGCTCTTATATAATGGTTGGTTGTCATCATCAAAAAGGGGGAGATTGTTAGCCCTTATGTTTTGATGATGTTCTTACAACCACCATTATCGGTACTAATGGCTTATTGAGTATAAATGTAGTAAATTCATTTGTCAAGCTCGTTAGTGCCATTAATGGAGGATGGATGGAATATATGCTACAACGAAGATATCCAAAGGAGGAGGAGGCCAAGAGATGAAGCAACGTTATTTCAAGAACGACAAATTCGAATAAAAGCTTCATCCGATTCAAGCTATATCAAAGCTCAAGTATATTGCTCTCTATATGAGGATATTAGCTTTCTTTTGTTTTTCTCTCTAGTGCTAGAATGTAGGCAAAGAGTTACTGAGTTTACTTGAAGCTATTGGGAATCACACACACGTTTTTAGACTTGTTTCCAGAGAGGTCGTCGGTCGACCGGTGCGGTCGACCAAAATCTCGATTTTTCTATCGGTCGACCGCGTCGGTCGACCGATGTTGGCTCTGCTTGTTTTCTAAGTTTTCAAAGCTGATCACGGTCGACCGGATTTTCGGTCGGTCGACCGAATTCATTTTTTTGGTCGACCGAACGTTCTGCCGGACGACCGATTGATTTTTCGGTCAACCGCGACTTTTTTCTCAAACGGTCGATTGCCTCGTTTGCTGTGCTTTCACTTAACCGTGTTTGGCACAGTCTGTGGTAATGGTCTGAAAAGGAGATTATTTTCTTAATTGGGAAGATTGAGTTATGTTTTTAAATTGATTAATATCTTCTATTTAAACAGGAGATTATTTTCTTAATTGGGAAGATTGAGTTATGTTTTTAAATTGATTAATATCTTCTATTTAAACTCTAGACTTCTTCTTCTTCAAGCTGCCCCAACGTTTTGCAAAAACCAGAGAGACTGCTGTCTTCCTGAGAAAATTTTCAAATATGTTTTCTCTGTGGTTTTTGTGTGTGATTCACTTCCCAGCTTCAGTAATCTTTCTCTTTACCATAGGGGCTGTGTAAAGAGAGAGTCTTGCATCTTTTCTTCTGCTGTGTGAGTGAGATCTTGTGTAGATCAACTGTGAGGGAGTGTGATCTGTTGAGATCAAACTGTGTAGTGAGAGATCATGTAGGATCGCTGTGTAGACGAAGTTCTGGCTTCCAAACCAGGTGTGTAGTGGATTTCTCCTCGAGAGTGGGGAGCGGGGATGTAGGTCAGCAGGCCGAACCTCGTTAACACATCGCGCGTCAAGGATAACGATTCCTAACCCTATCTCTTCTACTTTAATCGCATTACTGTTTTGTGGTTTGCTTGTGTTTTATTTTTATTGCATATTAGAGCCTCTTGACCCTAATCACCCCCCCCTCTAGGGTCCAACATTACATTGTATTATACTTGTACACCGAGAGGAGTGGTCGGTGAGAGACATGGTTGATTCCAAGAGGAGTGGTATCGGTTGTAAAGCCTAGAGAGAGGTTATAAATCCGAGCACTTGAGGAAGAGGACATGGGCTAGGCTAACACTTAGAGGGTGTAGAGTGTATTTACATCGTGTGTATTGTAAACATTTGTCGGTAAGCATTGAAAACCGATTGTGAACGTTTTGGGTGAATGTCGAAAACCCGTTGTGTTAGTGGATTCTCCCCGGGAGTGGGGAGTGAAGACGTAGGTCGGAAGGACCAAACTCTATGATCATATTGCTTGTTTGAGTTTGTATTTTTATCCACTTCTGTTTCATATTTATCCCTTTGTTTATATATCCTTGCTTTATCTTAATTGAATACCTATCTTGCTAGGATATTTTTGTTAGTAAGCTTTTATTGGTATTAATATCGAATTAGATTAGCTTTGACCCTATTCACCCCCCTCTATGGGTGCTTTCATTCTTGAGTCTGCACACAAGGTTCTTCTTTTTTTCTTCTAGAAAACCTTCTGACCGGTGCATGTATATCTCCTCTTCTAGATGTCCATGAAGAAACACTGTCTTCATGTCTAACTGCTCGAGATAAAGATCTTCAATAGTTACAATACTCATCACTGTCCTGATAGTATTGAGCTTTATCACGGGAGCAAAAATATAGGTGTAGTTAATTTCTTCCTTCTGCTAGAATCCTTTGACAACTAGCCGGAATTTATATCTTCTGGAGCTATCCTGCTCCTCTTTTACCCGGTACACCCATTTATTATGGAGTGCCTTCTTACCCGTGGGCAACGCAGTTAATTTTCACATCTGGTTTGAGATAAGAGACTTCATCTCTTTTTTCATGGCAAGCTACCACTTGCTCGCATATCCACTCTGACAAGTTTCATCATAGCTTTTAGGCTCCCCTCCATCTGTTAACAACAAATCGTTCATATATCTCCTATTGGGCACAGGAGGACGTGAAGATCTTCTCAATATCGGAGCTAGTGCGTCGGTCTCCTACACACCGTTCTATCCAATAGGCTCTTCTGGCTGAGGACATGCTGCATTTGGTTCTTTCGAGAGGTTACCTGGAACATCATCTGCATCTACAAATATTGACTCGCTCTCCTCTGAGTCAAATGCATATGTCTTGTGCATGTCCTTGTACATCACCTTCTCGTTGAATATCACATCTCTGCTGCGGATCACTTTCTTATTTTCATTGTCCCAAATGCGGTAGCCAAACTCATCTTCACCATAATCGATGAAAGTGTATTTCTTAGACTTGGGAACAAGCTTATTCTTTCCTTGATCGCTGATGTGCACATAGGCTACACATCCAAAAACTCTCAGATGAGATAGTTTTACCTCATTTCCGCATCATACCTCCTCTGGTATTCTGTGCTCTAATGAAATCGATGGACCTCGGTTGATCAAGTAAGCTTCTGTGTTGATTGCTTTTGCCCAGAGCTGCTTTTGTAGACCTGACTATATATGGATACTTTGGGCTCTCTCTGTCAACGTTTGGTTCATCCGCTCAGCTACACCATTATGCTGAGGCATGCCGGGCATGATTCTCTCCATTCAGATCCCGTGGTTATAACAGAACTTCTTGAATCTGGTGTCTTCATACTCACCATCATTGTTGGTCCTGAGCTTCTTTATTCTCAGAGTTGTCTCATTTTCGACCATACCTTTCCATCTCATGAAAGCTTCAAACACTTCTGACTTGTGCTTCATAAAGTAGACCCACACTTTTCGAGAGTGATCATCGATAAAAGTCACCAAGTAGTGTTTCCCACCAATGGACGCAGTGGTGGTTGGTCCCTAAACATCCGAGTGAACAAGCTCTAGCTTCTCCTTCTTTGGGGTTCTGCTATTTTTCTGAAAGCTAACTCTCTTATGCTTTCCAAGTATAGAATCTTCACACATGTCTATCTCCACTGATTTTAGACCTGGGAGTTTTTCTTTTGTGTGCATGATCTTCATCCCCTTCTCACTCATATGACCAAGTCTCCGGTGCCATAAATTTGAAGTCTCATTGTATGCTATAACTGAGATCAAATAGCGTGCACCTGCTGTCATATATAGGGCACCAGTCTTCTTACCTCGGGCAATCATCATTGCGCCTTTTGAGATCTTTCAATCATCTCCATAGAAGGTCGCAGTGTAGCCTTCTCCAGCTAACTGGCCTACTGAGATTAAGTTCTTTTTCAGGTTAGGAATATGTCTGACATCCTCCAACTCCCATACTGACCTGTTCAACTTAATTTTCACTATACTTTTGCCCACAATAGCACATGGTTGATCATCACTAAGATATATATATCCAAGATTATCGAGGACATACTTCTCGAAGAATTCTTTGTGAGAAGTAGCATTGAACGATGCTCCTAAATCTAACACCCAAGATTCTTCTTTGCTCTCTAAAGAGCGTATCAATGCATCGTCTCCTCCTGAGGTGGAAGTAACATTCACCTCTGCATTTGCCTCCTTCTCCTTTTGTGCACTTTTGCACTGATTCTTGTAATGCCCCGCCTTCCCACAATTCCAACACTCGATGGTCTTCGAGTTATTACTTGGATTCCTAGACTTGGACATCCCGTCCTTTGATCTACCTCTGTAGTTTGATTTGCCTCGTCCATTTCCTCTGGTTGAATTTCTACCTCTTGACTCTGTATACAATACTGAAGAGGTTGTAGCTTTTTACCCGACTCTCTCCGTCGGATCTCCTGAGAACCAGATCATGAATATCATCAAACTTTAACTTGTTGCTTCCCGATGAGCTACTCATAGTCATGTCTGTAGCGTTCCAACTTTTCAGTAGGGAAGAAAAAAGTATCAACGCTCGAACTTCTTTATCAAACTTAATTTCAATTGAAATCAATTTTGTTATGACCGTATTGAGTTCATTTAGGTATTGTACTACTGATACGCCTTCCGCCATTTTCAGATTGAATAACCGCCTCATCAAATAAACTTTATTTGCGGCTGATGGCTTCTTATACATATTTGAGAGTACTGCCATTATATCCGTCATGGTCTTCTCCTTCACTATGTTGAACACAACATTACTAGTTAGTGTCAATCTGATAACTCCGAGGGCTTATCTGTTTAGATGGTTCCATTCATCTTCCTTCATAGACTCCAGCTTCTTCCCTAAAAGGGGTTGATACAGATTCTTTTGGTACAGATAATCCTCTATCTGCATCTTCCAAAATCCAAAATCTGTTCCATTGATCCCACTTGAATCTGACTTCCTTTAGATCGTTTCAGGCTCTGATACTAGTTATTATGAATTACGGGGGCTACCTAAACCCCTAAAAATTAAGAAAACGTAATAGAGAAAAGTACACCAAAATCTACGAGGTTCAGCAAACTTGTCTACGTCCTCGTGAGCCACACAGTAAATTTCTTTATTAATCTAAAGAAAAAATTACAAAGTTTAGAGAAGATCTCAAACTGAGATCTCTCAATAAATGCAAATCTTCACTATAGCTACAGTGAAGATCCCCCTCTTAAATCCCCCTTCAAGATCACTGTTGATGTCTAATATCACACAGCCAGTTGAAGGCGCAGAGTTGTTGGATCGTCGAGAGGGAACTATCGAGAGGGTGTCGCTTTCCTTCTTCGACTTTATGCCTGGTTCTCAGAGCTCGGGTGAACAGATCACCTACACACACAAGAATCATAGGAGTACGTGGCTTGTTTCCCCCATAGTATCTCTGACGGTCAAGTCAGCTGGTGGACTTATGTGAGGGGGAGGAAGAACGGTGTGCTCTTCTAATATGTGTGTAGAGAGTTTGAAGGTAGTAAGGAGAATCAAACCTTTTTCATGACGAATAGCGTATGTATTTATAGAGGACGCCAAGGGCCGGATCGAAATCTAGCAAGAATGCGGTCTTTGATGAGGGCGAGGGGTGAGCTGGAGGCTGAGTCACCCTCTGCCCGATACGTGTCGATTGGTGAGTGATGAGAGGTCACTTCAGTGACATGGGGAATCAGCGGCCGTCGAGGCATGTCGGCGAGTGACGTGGGGTCACTTCTATGGTATGGGGATCCTGCAGCTATCGAGGTATGTCGGCAAGTGATGTAGGGTCACTTTTGTGGTATGGGGACTCTATAGCCATCAAGGCTTTTAGATGGGCGACATGGAGTCGCTTCTGTAGTATGGAGACTCTACAACCGTTGAGGCTTATCGGCAAGTGACGTGGGGTCACTTCTGTGGTATGAGGACTCTATAGCCATCGAGGCTTGTCGGCGGGCGATGTGGAGTTGCAATGATGATCATAAATGGTAAAATAATGCTGAGAAATAATATTCTGAGTCGCCCTGGGGAGAAGTGTCGGCTGATTGCTGAGTAGCAATCTCTTGCTCGACTGAGTCCGCCTTTCGAGTCGTCTTCATGGAATGAAACCAGCTCGACTGAGTCTCGGCCTCAGGATAGCATATTTGTAAGAAATAGGGAACACCTTATAACAATCACTGAGTGCTGGAGAAAAGAGAAAAAAACGCCACCGCTGCCAGGAGTTGAGAAATCACGAGAAGGAGAGAAGAGGCCCACAGATCATGTGCTCTAGGTTCCCTTTTATAAGAGACCCCTAGCGACAGGCTGTCACTCACCTATGTGCACTCGAGCACACCTGTGCCTCGACCTCGCCTAAAGTACACTCGCATTCGACCTTGACTGAAGCACGAGCGCTCAAGCTTGCCTGGATCTCGTCCGCTCAAGCTTGCCTAGATCTCGCCCTCTCGAGCTTGCCTGCAGCGCTCGACCTCGCCTGCATAGTCTCGACCTCGTCTGTGCCAACTCGATCTCACCTAATCTGTGTCATCGGCCTCATCTAAAGTCACCTTGAGCTCGCCCTCGCCTGGACCGCCTACGTCGAGGTTTGGATTTACACCCAAAACCAATAATATCATATCAGAGATGATATGGGTTTCAAATCCGAGGGTCTTTTGGTTGCTGCTCACTAGTTGGACAGTTATTTGACATAGAAAGAAGTTTGATTTATCCTGGGAAAATACAAAATTCCATAAAATGTTGGCCTAAATTTGATTTTCATGATATATAAGTTTGATCATATGCTTGACTAAAACAAATTGGGAATTTGTACATTTTTCACTGAAGGATAGCTTTCGTTTTGTTCCCAGTAACATGCAGACGATGAGGGGGAAGCTGTTTAAGCTTCAACATTTCTGAGGGTACAAATTTTCTTATGGCTCATGGCTGATTCCTTACTCATAGATTTTTTGCCTAATGCACGTGCAAACTTCTCCGTGATGATATTGCAATTAGTTGTTTTGTAAAAAGAAATTTTTAGGAAATGATTGGAAAATAGACCTATATTTCTTTGCCTAATGCAGAGGCAAACTACCTAATCCGATTGCTTCTATTAACAGCACCCTAGATCGATATGAATTAGGGTTGGAGTCTTATCTCACATCATCATCATATTTGTTTATAGGAGAAATTTTTGAAAGTGACTTTTTTAATAAATATTTAGCAAAAACGACCCATTTGCTAAATATTTAGAAAAAACGACCTCGTTTTGGTTAGCTCACCAAAGCTGGCTAAAAAGAGATAGATTTTGCAAAATATGGATTTCAAAACACACATGACTACTAGTCTCGTGTGTTTAGTGCTAATCGCAGCCTAAACAAGACACAACAAACCCACACGACTAGTAGTCCCGTGGGTTTTCTGTTTACTAGTATATAAACCCACTAGTCCCATGAACCGTGTCATCCCTCTATTCTTGCATTGATCCTCAATTCCTAACCAAAACAAACCAATGAAAGTTACAATCTTTATCCCACAAAATCAAAAGGGAAATAGAATTACAGTCAAGAGACGAACCATGCAAAACAATAAAGGGAATCGAACACGAAACTGAACAACTGACTTAGCACCATTTATTAAGATCTAGGAAAATTGATTAAACGAACTAATATACAGAGTAAATGCAAACTCATATTAAAATTGCAGCGAAAAATAACTTTGAATATCATACAATATAAACTAACAACTAATAGTAATAAATCATGCAAAAACTACAACAAATAAGGAATGCGTTCGCGATAAACCTGAGCCGTGAAATGTTGAGCACAGTCAACACATCCTAATTGAGTACTCAGTGTTTGAGTCAAATTTCTATTAGCTAGATCTTACAAAAGGGTAACAAAATAAAAGGATTAGTTCAATATAAGATTAAGGATGTAACAATTCTAATTAACCACAATATAATCAATCTGATTAAATAGGAATAAGGGATTAGATCTGAGTTTCATAGTTCTATGATGTTGTGGAATTCTGCAGGGATCAAATCTATGAATGAGGTTGTAATGTTGAGAAAACTAGGCACTGTTCATATGACGCCCCTGGGTTCACACAAGGCTGCAGACCGAGGTGAAACCAGGAATGTCAAACCTGCCATGTACCACACCGTGCAATAACATGTTTTACTATCATAATTACTATCTCTCTAGTAGAGTCAACAACAGATGTATGTACAAAAGTAAGTAAAAGATAATACAAGAGATATATGATAAAATAATAGAGATAAAAATGATATTTTATCATCCAACATACAAAAATATAAAGTGAATCTCTGAAATAACTAGTCTGGATATCTCAGCAAGTCTCAAATACAGAATATCTGATAAAAGAAAATAAGGCACACAACCTTTACAACTTCTAGAACATAACTCTCAAATGTCTAAATAAAATATCTACAGTGGAGCTCCATAAATAAAATAAAACTACAAATGAAAGATGGACGCTAAAAAGTATCACTATCAACCTGTGACTCTCCGTGACCTGGCTCGTTACCTGAAATGGGAGGGGACAACGAGCGTCAAAGTGCTAGCGAGCAACATCACAAACAACCCCAAGAGAGAGGGCTCGTTGCATATAGAAAATATAATTAATACATGTATACATGAAATCATTGATCCTAACAATAAGAGGATTTTAGTATTTAGGAAATTACAACACGAGCATAGCTATGTCGAGCAAAATAATCCAAACAAGGAAATCCTCATGTATATACCTTGTATCTCAAATTGTAAATCCATAAATATCAAAACCAAGATCTAATACAGGAACAATAATATAAAGAAGA